TAAAAGTTATTTTAATTGTATAATTTTCATATCATCTACTAAGTGCAATATTTTGATTCCTTTAGACTTTGATTTCTTTAAACACCCACTTACAGCACATATTTTTCTGCCCCGGGCAATCCCCTCTGCACTAGATGTGTGTGTCATGCAAGGTAATTAAAATGCACAAAAAATTGATGTTCTGGTTGAAAAGGTGATTTCGGACAGATTTTCACTCTTTGTTTGATATCAATACAGCTCACATATATACTGATCGATCCAAACTATAAGAAATGCCTAAATGTAGCTGAAATTAGTGAAAATATTACTTATACAAGTCATAAATCCAAATTTGATCATGTACATTTAGTAATAACCATTTTGAACACGAGTGAATTGAAATCTATAATACATAAAATGATGCAAATCTGCATGTACAATCACACTGGTCTTAATCGTTTATCTGGCCTCGGTTTCACGAAGCATTTCTTGACTAATGTTAAATGAAATGAAATGAAATGGGGTTTAACGTCCTCCTGTTCTGCTCCTATACTGGGCTAATGAAGACGAGCATACAGTGTGCTATGAGGGAAATTTTCCCGGGCAGCGGCACTATCGCTTACTCTTATATTGAATTCCAACTGGTAGGGAATCTTTTACGTGCATTCTAATGTATACACAGGACCTCGGTTTTTCGTTTCATCCGAAGGACTAGACAGCAGTCCTTGACAGGCCCTCTGTTCTGCACCACTGACAAGGGGAAACCACGTCGGAAAATCGGGATGAACTTTCTTGGCCAATGCAGAGATCGAACACCCAACCTCCAGGCTAGTGAGCCAGCGTCTTAACCACCTAGCCACCGTGGCTCCCGACTAATTTACTCAACTTTCAATCACTGTTGTTGAGAAATATCTTTGATCCAGAAACACAAAACTTTGCACATAGTTTCTTATTGATATACTTGATACATTAAAATAACAGAAGTTTTATAAAGGATATTTTAGATAAAATAAGGCAAACAATATTTAGTAAATACTTAACCTAAGCCTGAGAATGTTTTGTGAAATACTACTACAATAACTTCCGAACTAGCAGATAATCAGATTTTATAATCCTACTCTGACTGTTGCCGTTTTTGATATTTTCTAAAAAGACTATTCAAAGTATAATATGCACTGCATATATTGATTTTCACTGACTTCTTTTCTGCAGGTCTCCTGGTTTCCTCCTACTGCTAAAAAAACCCTACACGCAAGTGAATTATTAAAGTAAAATTGTACAATGTTAAGCCCAAGGTGATCTACTTTTGAGTGGAGTGGATGTTAAACTCCATTCTCTCCATCTATGCCTTCTCATATCAAAGCTTATCATGGCTTGTTGTTGAATTAGGTATGTCGTCAAAAATTCTATAGAGCATGGCGAGTTTGCAGCCACAGTGACCAAGTGTGAAGACAACTTGCCTGCTTCTAAGTTCTCGCCAGCCCTTGCCACACTCCCTCCTAGGTGAGAGCATATTATAAAATGATTGGTTGAAGTGAGAGCGTGTTTGTGACATGGTGGTCATATCCATGGGCATAGTAAGAACTTGATGGAAGTGCACTGAACATATAGAGAGTGTGTGGAGTGGTGAGGTTGTGGCGTAAGAGTGATCCGATTTACAGGGGTGATCCGATTTACACGTGAATTTTTTGTAGATCAAGCCACTCTCACTGCTCTCAGTAAGTTGTCTCCATTGTCACTACGCTTTTGCCATACTTTCTTTCCATCATGACCTAGGTACACGGGTATGGTGCATGTTCCATACTTGCATAATGAGGTGGCTTATCAAGCTGACCATGTTCCAATTATGACCGTACTACATCCTTACTGGCATGGCCACATCCATGGGGCTCTCAGCATCAATCTGGCTGATTTTTCCAGGTCATATTGAGGTCATGGTCTATATGTGATAGGGGTGGGGGAAGGGGTTACCAGCAAGTATATAGACAGGACCATCCAGGTACTTACAAGGCATAGAATTTCAGGACTTTTATGTCTTCATATAATAAAGGCCCTGTCCCAGTGGCCGATGGACACAAAATGTATGCAAAAAGGACACAGCGGACGAGCAAACTTTCGGGGGTGGCTCCATCCGTTTTCATCCGCTCCAGAAATGGACAAAATTGATGAAAATTTGCGAAAACAGAACGGAAAAGAACGAACGTGGGAAGTATGTAGCGGGGATGTTAAATGGGTGTTCATCGGAAGCCTAGCGCATGAAAGCGGATGGAAGTGGATGACAGCTCCGACATCCTTCAATATACCAGATACATCCCAGATACAAACGCTTTGTCCCTTTTGAAAACTTTATATATGAGATGCATACGCTTACATCGTTTCTGTTTCCGTGCTACTAACGATGTATAGACGTCCCATGTACCTTATCTTTCCTCCTTCTTTCCGTTTTCAGCTGGAGCGGACGTGAGTTGCGAGGATGCCCAGAGGGTGCAGAGAGGATACAGTGGACGTTTAACGGACATGGAACGTTTGGTGCTCGTATATGTCGCGCATTTACATCGTACACGGCAGAAAGTTCATCCGTTATAAAAGTTTTGTGCAGCTCAAAACCTTTTGCGCGGATGAAATCAAAGTGAACGGATGCTCGATGGATAGAGCGTATGAAACACGTATGCAATGAGTACACAACGGATGCATCCGTAAGTGCAGTGGGACTGGGCCTTAAAAGATAGTGTATGAAAACTGCACAACAAAACACAGACAATAAGAAGGTATGCAATTTAAACAGAGAAAAAACACAAAAATATTTTTGAAAAATACATCTGTGTTTTGGGGTGGGTCCTGAAGTTTATGTAAAGGAAATTGGTTTTGCCTTGTTTGATATGGATAAAAATGTAATTAAATAATAACAATTGACATATAATAGAACTATTACAATAATTTACAAATCAAAAACAAACATAAGGGGAAAACTTTCCCCATAATAATTTGTTTCTTAGGCATCATTGTGGATTTTTTTGTTTCCGATATAAATATATTGAGTTAACTACCGGTACTGGTGTCTAGACTAGATATCATTCCTCCTGTTAATAAGCACTCGTATATTTTTTCCATGAAATATTAGAAAATTTAGGAGACTAGCATAGATCATTATTTCAATACTGGCATCAAAAACATAGAATTGCTTTTGTGTAATTTTCTTTTGCGTCTGGTGAAATTCCTAATTATCTATATGATCTAGAATAAAAAAAATTCTTTGTAATAGCTTTGTTATGATAGAACATTAATCAAAAGGTACAAAAAATTGACAGTTTTATAAACTGTATAGAAGATGGAGGATGCCAGCCTCGCTAGCATTTTGAAGATGCCAGTCTCATCTGAATTTCAAGCTGGAAGTGGTATTATTTGTTTCAAAGATATACTGCTTGAATTCTACATTTAAACATGCATTATTCATGTCTATTACAGGTTTTTTTTATATTCTTGTTTCAAAAGCTTATAATCAACTCTCCAAACTATCGGTTGTTGGCACTTATCACTGTAACCCAGGTATCATTTCAACTTGTGTACTCATTTCTTTCACATTCGTTTTAATATCAAATCTTTGTTTAAAAATTCGTAAAAATCGTTTAAAATCACCCAAAATCATCTAATTTGTACTTGTGTCCAGTTTAAAGCTGACTGATTAATTTTAATAATGAGTGTCCATTTACAAGTATTTAATTTCCTGGCCACTGTTCAAAAATTAATCATTATACATCATTAATCAATTGGGTGGGTTTGTTTATTTTTTTAACAGTGATAGAAAAATTAAACACTTGTAAATTGAACACTCATTATCAAAATTGAATGGTCAGCTTTAAACTGGACAGAAGTACAAATTAAACGATTTATGGTGATTTTAAACAGTTTTTACGAATTTTTAAACAAAGAATTGATATTAAACGTATGTGAAAGAAATTAGTGCTAGATACATAAGATTAAATGATACCTGGGTTACAGTGTATGGTGGCAGGTGATTGAAGGACTGAAAATCTAGACTTTGTTTATTATTGTGACAATGGTACTTCGAGACTATGAACTGTCAATCAGCAATCTGCAGACACAATTCATAACTTTTCTCAGAACGAAGTAATTTGACTGAAATTTTCAATATGTTTATATCATTATTTATGTTTGAAATATAGCAAGAATGGCCAGCTCTTTAAACTTTCAATATTTTCTCATGTGAAAATACAATCTATAGATTATATATACCAGTATGCACTTCAAAAACTTTTATAAAATAACTATATAAAAAATGTTTTGAATTTCAAATTCCCAACAGCCACAACCTTTACACAAGACTATAATGTTTTTAATTTCAAATTCCCAACAGTCACAACCTTTACACACGACTATAGATTTGAAAGTTAACTAGATTTCAAATACCCAACAGCCACAACTTCATTGAAAACTAGCTGGGAGTGGAAAATTCAGTTAGAGAACAAAGTATACACGACTGTATATATATGTATTATATCAAGTTGACATATAGTTTTGAATGTAAATAAATCTATTTTACAGATGTCAGTTATGTTTTATAATGTATCTAGACATAAATTTTTATCGTACATATTCATATATCAATTTATAAAAAACTTTAAAAAATGTTTTTCTAACAATCAGACAAAGCCAAATAAATTTGGTAAAGTTGCCCATATCAGAATGTGCAATGGAATGTTTACAGTGACATGTGATCCGGTATTCTAAGAATTAACTTGTTTTTTGTGTCTGTACCTATTCATCTACAGCTATGCAGGGATTTGTATTTAGGATAGGGGACAAAGGAGGATGTCAAAAATTTATCTTTTTCACACCAAACAGCTTAATAACTGACAAAATCAATAATAATTGGAAGATTCAGTGCCGAATTTACTCTGAAAATTTGATTTGCAGGTTGAATGATATATGCCTAAAGTGAATAACATAAAGTGTTTTATGGTTTCATTTGTCATTGTCTTATTCTTCAATTTGTTTTGCAGCGACAGTTTGGCATTTGCTACCGAACCAATCTTCGCAAGTTTATCCAATATCTTGGGAAACTATGAAAGAATGCCTGCAAACATTCCACAAGAACTTAAGGTAAGATAAACGGATGAACCGCATTATTGAACAACTTTAAAGGATTAATAAGCTTTAACAGGATTTTTTTAATATTTGGTTTATCTTTACTATGTCCATTCATGCCATATCAAGTTAATAATAAAACTCATACAGTCTCTTTTTGATAAGATACTAATTAAGATCATGCCACAGTAGTAAACATTGGCTGAATTATAAATCAAAAATAGAAGCTCTGTGGCAAGCAGATGAGTTCTCTTTTAAGTAGGCAGAGATCTCTTACTTTGTCTCTCATATTCATTATTTGTATCAATATTTATCACTGGGCAAACAGATCAACAGAGGTCCCCAAAATTAAAAAAATGTTATTATTAAAACAAAAAGTTAATGTTTGCCCTTCCTAAATGCGACTATTATTATTATTATAGCTTCATCCACATAATTTTCTGTAGTTAGTACACCTTTCATTTTTATGTCAACATAGGTGTTACATCCCTATTTATCATGGGAAATGAGATATACATATTATTGAATAATTTGTATCAAAACAAAATATGATATTTTGAAGTTAGATCAAATTTATATAATTTTAGTTATTAACATATTAACAATACTCATTTAACATAAAAAAAAACAACATTCGACGCAAATTATATTTTGTTACGTTTTAAAGTTTCATCTTGAAACATGGGTATATACTGTCTTCAACCCTATATATCTGTCAAATCTGCCCATCCATTCATGATTTTTTGTGGACATTCTAAATGCTTAGGTCAAACCAATTTAAATTTTTAGTTTGGCTTTAAGTTATTATTGGATCAGGTTTATTCTTACACCAATATTTAATGTCCGTCGATCTTTTTGTGTTTCTGTCCACTCTAGCTTGTGAATGTGATATTGTCTACATTTTTGTTCCCTGCCTTTTGAAGGAAGCAGGGGACTATTAAAACTCAATAACTCTGCTTCTAATTATAATTCAGTTAGATTCCTAGAATGTTGAATCTTGGAATCTTTGTGTTTTGTTCATTAGAGGTGAATGCCTTGACCAAGCATTTTCCAAGCAGAGATAAGCAATTTCATTGGCTCATGACTACAAGGATTCAATTGATGGAGTTCAATATACTGAGTATTTGGAAGATGTATGTCCATGAAATGGGCATAATTCTTCAATTATTCTCTGAGTTATTGCTCTTGCGGACTTAGCCAAAATATTTGAAATCAAAGGTAGTTTTCCTTCAATTCTAATCAGACTAGGTATGTTTTAATTCGAACTAGATTCATCATTTATTTGCAGAGTGATTGCCCTACTCTGAGTGCAAACCAATAATGTGTTACTGTTTTCTGCAATTATTATTTTATTGCTTTTACAGTTATTTACATTCATAACTAATTATAAAGAAAGTATTTAACAGGTATTGTGTTTTAGAATAAGGGTACATTGTTAAAGGGGCCCTCTTACTTTTGCAGTTAAAACTGAGTAATAAATCATTTTTGATTGGCACAATCTGATTATTCATGTCCATGTTACATGTAGATTGTGTAAAAAATATGAGTTCCATTTGCCAGTACATTTTCAAATAAATATCTCAATTAAGGACACAAAACATGTACTGTTTACATACATATCAAAGGTAAAAAACGATGTACTATTTTAATGGAATGACTTATTATTATGATGTAATTAAGCACACACAATTATGAAAAAGCCTTCGTGAACGGAAAAAATATCAAATTTATTATTACTTTGTTTGTCTAAGACACATGAGGATGGCAGTGTAAAATTAATTGAGACCAATTCATGTTTAAATTGATTGTTGAATAGAATTGATTGAATTTTTGGACCAAAATGTTTTAGTTAATTAACAAAGTACTTTTGATTGTGCATTTCAACTTTATTCTGGCATGTTGGTGCTTTAATAAATATCAGTGATATTTAAATGATCCCTGCATTTTATGTCAACATCTCCGATGAATAAGAAGGGGTATTAGAATCATATATTTTAAATAAAGTATGCATACGCTGCATTATGTGTGGTTTAATGGTCGAGAGCGAGACATTATAAAGTCATATATTGAAACAACATGAGGGACATAGTATAAATAATGTACGCTTGGCACATTGCCCGTAAATGGTATGCCAACATCAAAGGATGACCTCACATCTGTATTTTAAAGACTTTTAACATATAGTTAGGTCTAAGGTGACCAATACTTTTAATTTTCTTGTTGAAAGTAGTAATGCCTCTTTAAAATTGATGTAAATACTTTCCTTTATTTATTCGGAAATATTCAGTTTATTTATCTTTAATTAAAGCACCATTTATTCAAAAAATATACATTGTCTTTCTGTCAACATCAGTGCAAATAATTAGTTAAAAAATTATGCTTTAGACAATTATAATTCCATTAATGTAAAATCTTTCAATAAAAAATCTTACTGTAAAGGTGCCATCTTGGTGTGAAAAGTATGTCTTCAAAGCTTGCTCTCACGATTAATTATAATAACTCATCAAAGACAATCTGTTCTTAAGGAGCAAAGATTGTGTGAATTTTCTTTCAATATGGCTGCTTATTTTCACAGTCTTTTAATGATTGAGCATGCTTGATTTAAAGACAGCAATAAATTTGTTTTATCTAATCGTTGATGGCCATGATGACTGTTCAGTTGTAAACAGATTGGATTTGATCTCTTTGACAAGAAAAGAATTTATAAAAACAAGTTATTTAATTTCAAAGAGTTTAGTTTATTCATGAAAGCAGATATTAAAGTCAAATTTCTTTTAAGTTAAATGGAAATAAACACGCCTACATGATCACATATTTAAAAGTGCAGAAATGTGTGAGCATTTTCAGAAATGATTTTTATAGATCCACATTGAACAATATATGATAATTTTACTTTCGTCCATCGATCTGTTTGTCTTCATCTGTTGGTATGTCATCCACCCACATTTTATCTGAAAAACTCTACAGACCAGCCTACATATTTTTTTCATATCAGGCATTGTTCACTAGGTCATAAAGTAAAATCCGATCAAAAATCAGAATTTTTCAATCAAACCCATATTATAGAGTTATCCCTTCACTTACACTTAAATTAATGAAATCTTTAGAATGTGATACCGGATTAGAGTTCTTTATGTAATTTTTAAACCTTGATGGGATTGGGCATAAAACATCCCTGGGCTCTTTAAATTCAAAGATATCTCAGCCTGGTTTAACACTCTGTATACCATAATAAATTTGAATGACAGTCCATATGAGACATGGAATGGCATTATGTTTATTGTCAATGGCTGCCATGCAAAGTTTTTAGTCTTTCACACTCAGGGGGGTTGGATGACCGAATGGTTATCACGTGCACGCTGTATCATAAGGTCTGTCATTGAGTCAACCAGCGTGGTTTTGAATCCCTGGTTGTATGTGACAAGGAGTAGGGTCGACTGTCCAACCTCGTGGGTTTACTCTGGGTCCTCTGCCTGCTAAAGAACTCTATGCGCAAGCGAATATTTGAAATAAAATTGAATCATGTGTTAGTCCCAAAATGACCTAGTTTGTATGGAGTGGGCTTAATCTCTCTCTCTCTCTCTCTCTCTCTCTCTCAAAAATGCTTTCATTTCCTATTTCCAGAATTTTTTTCCAGTTAGCAGAGATATTTTTTTTCACGAAATCTAATAAGTTAGCTTTTACTTTCTGATAAAGACCTTTAGACAGTGTTTAATTAGCAAAAAGTTAAGTTATGTTGTCAAAAAATTGATTTATGCTTTGTGTTTGAATGACTAATTGCCATTATTCACAATGCACAAAGCTTTACTTATTTTCCTGAAATAAATCTGGATTTTTTTTTTTTCAGGATCACGAGTTTATAGATATGGAAATAAAGTATGGTATTTTTCAGGTTTGTATGACAGTGTTTTTATCATTGCTTTTGTTTTAGGGAAAATGGATAATTGATCATTCAACTACATGTCTGAGTTCCAAAATATTCTATTTTTACTCTGACTATTAAGTTCTTAAAAAATGAGATACAATATTCTATGATGTTAACGAACATAGTCCTTATGTACTAAAAACTAAGTTGGATTAAGATAGTAAGAAGCCTGCACAAGAACATGTCATTGTCTAATAAGAAAGCTTGAGTACCAGTCACTGGAAGCAGCATTGGAGAAGAATACCACAGCATAAGCAGGCATTCAAGGCAAGGAGGGGGAGTGGATGGCCGAATAGTTAGTGGGTGCGCGCTCCATCATAAGGGTTGTCATTGAGTCATCTGGCATGGTTTTGACTCCCCAGTTGTATGTGATAAGGAGTAGGGTGGCCTGTTCAACCTTGTGGGTTTCTCCGGGTCCTCCAGTTTCCTCCCACTGCTAAAGACTCCTACGCACAAGCAAATTATTGAAATAAAATTGAACTATATGTTAGTCACGAAATGACCTAGTTTGTTTCTAGTGGACTTAACCCTCTCTCTCTTTCTCTCTCTAAATAATAACCCCCCAAAATATGCTTGAGCTGTAGATGCATGTATAATAGAGTTGTCAAATGTCCATGTTTAACTGCATCTTCATTTTTATAGCCATTCAGTCCAATAATGAATAGTTTTTTTTAGGAAATTCATTTTGCCGCAAATCTGATTTAAGATTCGTGAAGGAATATTACACATTTGGGACTTTAGTTGTAAAAATCCATGCAATTAATGTAACAGAAAGCCATTTTGCTCAGAATTAAATTCTTTAATTTTTCTTCAAGATGATAAATGAATTGCAATGGATCAAATTTGAATTTATTACAACCATTAATTATCATGAAAAAAAAATTCTTTAAAATGTCAACCATTTTATGTCCCGTTTTATGAGGACAGAGTATCTTCTCCTGTGAATATTATAAAGTAAAAGAGAAATTTAATATTTTATTGTTCATTCTTCGATCATTTTTTATCTGCTTCTAAATGTTGATTATGATCTTCCGTCTGGTTACACAAAACTTTTAAGTGTGTAATAAAATCAACAATCGATAGCAAATCTATTTAAAACAAAAAGTGTTGATGTCACACTTATAGGGATGTGTTTGGTAAGGTACTTACAATGAAAAATGGGCCAACTAATATTACCTTATCTAAGCTTAAAATGACATGCTTGAAACAAAGCCGTTGGCAGGAACATGTTATAAAATGGCACAGGAATTTTTTTGATGTGATTTCTTTTTTGATTTGTTTTTGTCGATAGCCTGAGGATGTCAGGGATGTTTTAGATGCGTTTAATTTCACAAAACAAGAAAATTGATGGATTAGACCATTCTGCTGGCAGCTTGAATCCAGGCAAAATAGTGAAAATGATTTCTTCGTGGGAATCTTTTATACGTTTGTGACTTCTGCCTCAAGTCAATCAACATGGATAACATTTAATCAGGCCTTTTTACCAGGAAATATTTTATACCAAATTTTACCCTATCAGTGTCTGCCATTTCTAAAATTTTCAAAAAATGCCAGATTTGGACCAGAAATGTTAGGTTTATCAATAGTCTCTCATCTATACAGAGTTTTTGTGATTGATTATCACAATTGGTGAAATTGTCAGTTTTTTGTTTTTATTATCCCCACTGATATTAAAAGAGACAGTTTTGCCTTTTATGTCTGAAAATAAACTTTGACACAGTGATCACTATCTATCATTTATTATATCTGTAAACTGTCTGTAAGCTGTCTGGCTAGGACCTGTTAGATATTAGATTTTTGCTTAGCATACGGTAATTACATGCAGGTGTTTTTTTTATGAACATTTGTTGTTTATTTTTTTCACAGTTAATTATGATGAAATAGCATTATCCTATTTAATAACACCTGATGTAATGGTTATTAGTAGACTTAAATGATCATAATGTATGCTTCCACAATATAACATGATACTCTATAAACCTTTGATAGAAAAGGGTATCTGACATTCAGAGAATGGATGCCAAGACTTAAGGAATGAGATGAAGATTACACTGAAAAGACTCACATGCAAAATCACATGCACTGTATAATGAAAATGAGTTTCATCATATAAAGGTACTTGAGACATAAAATTGTCAGTAAGTTTTGGGAAAAGGGGATTCTATTGAAATAAATAAATTTTTTATGAAGAATTATAGAATCAATTTTACACATATTTCTGTTTAATTAATTTCAGATAACAGATGCATTGTCATTTTTACATAGTTCTGAACATCTTATTCATCGTAATGTTTGTCCTCAATCCATCCTTATAACGAAAAAAGGTGCATGGAAACTTGCTGGCCTTGGTTTTGTAGAAAAAACTAAGGAAGGAAAGGTAGGCCTCTTTATTTTTTAAAAAATTATTTTGTCTTAAGAGAGAAAATAAGGCTAAAGAATCTTATGCACAAGTGAATGAATGGAATAAAAACTAATAAAGATAGGCATACGCCATACAGTGTGCAATGAGGGAAATTTTGCCCGGACAGCCTACTCTTTTATTGAATTCCAACTGTCAAAGGATCTTTTACGTGCATGCCAATGTGTACATGGCAGTTTTTGGTCTCATCTGAATGACTAGACAGCTGTCCTTATCAGGCCCTCTGACAAGGGTAAACCATGCCAGAATTAAACCTGAGACCAGCGTCTTACTCACTTAGCCACCGTGGCTCCCTAACAACTAATTGCTTATCCTATTAATGAAATGGAATGTGATTTAATGTCCTACTTTTCTGCACCAAGTTTGCTCATGAAGACTGGCAAAATTAAATGAATGTGTTAGAAACAAGTGTTCCAACTAAACAGTAATTCAATAATTAATTAAATAACTGTAACATTACTTTTTCTTTAAAACTAAAATAGAAGCTGGTCTTCAGTGATATTAAACACCATTTGTCACTGTCTTTAATATCGTGATAGTTTAATATATGGTACAGTAGTACTGCCATTTATGATTATTGTAAAGTTATTGATGTATTTGATTACCTCCCACATAATCATATTATAATAAGCATGATTACCATTCACCCTCGGGCTCAAATCACATCAATATAAACAGTGGGAGAAAATATGACAGAATGTAAAATTAGAATACTCGTTTTATAATTGTCCGGTATGACACACAGTTACTTTAATTAGCTAACTTAAAGGTCATGCAATACGTCTGTTCTTTATTATGGATCAAATATGGACGTAATTTTAGTAAAAAATTAATTAAATTTGAAAATTGCATGTTAAATTGTGGATTTTGAGTTTTTTGAATTTGGCAAAAGTTAATATTGGCAAATTAAGCATAGGCTTACAACTCTTTTAAGAACTACATCATGCTGCTATTAGTATGTGCAGGAGAACCGCACTACATGCAAAATAAAACCGACAAGATATGCCTGCGGATAAGACAAACAAATCAAGTGGGTCAACCATAAGTGTCCACTGTGTTGTACAGTCCTGGGTCTGTAATGATACAGGCTTCACTCAAAATTATGATTTACAAGAAAGACGTATTAGAAATAATGTGACCCATCTTAACCTTGGACGTAATAGTACTTGAAAGGATGGAACAGCTCAGATTAAGGGGAAGAGCATAAAGCTCTCAAATTTGAAAACTATATTATCTTATTACCTCTCTTCTGTCATGTTGCTGCATATATAGATATATTGATAATGAGTTTTATGTGCCCACATTGAAATGTGATCGAATGTGGTTGCCACCCTCGTCCGTCGGTTAATCACTTATTATTGTTAACATTTATGAGACTTTGCTTCGTGGGCACAATTGTGTTCCCATTAATGTGGACGTATATTGTGAAGAATCCTATTGAATTTCAAAATTATGAGCAGATAAGGGTCCTGACAAGCCCTTGTCTATATTTTGATATCCTGGAATTTGTAGGGGAGTGGAATGGAGCGCTTCATGCTACTGTCATTACTACAGTAAATCTGTACCTGGAAAACTTAGATATTTTTGGGCTATGGTTAATTTGAAAGGATTACAGAGCAATCATTCTTACATTATAGAATATAACTGCTTTTCATCATTTGAAAGCTGTCACATTGAGTGCACATGAAAGATTATGGTGTGCAAAGTTGTCATTAAATCAATAAAGGTGAATTGTAATGATGATAGAAAATTAAGTTGAAAGATTTTTCTTATTTATTTTTATTTAACTTCAAAGGTAAACAATTATTTCATTTAGAACATAATCTTGTTTCAAACAAATCTTGAAATTGACTTTAAAAATTGTTTAATGTAATGTATTGTTTCCTTTTACCATTAGACATTACCATATTTAGGGGGGTTGGATGGCTGAATGGTTAGCGTGCGCGCGCTGTATCATAAAGTCTGTCATTGAGTCGACTGGCGTGGTTTCGAATCCCCGGTTGTACGTGGCAAGGAGTAGGGTTGTCTGTCCAACCTCGTGGGTTTTCTCCGGGGCCTCCGATTTCCTCCCACAGCTAAAAGACCCCTACGTGCAAGCGAAATATGTAAATAAAATTTTTAAAAAACCCCATATGTTAGTCCCGAAATGACCTAGTTTGTGTCGAGTGGATGTTAAACCCCATTTCTCTCTCTTTCTCATTACCATATTTTCAAGTTACAATAGACCAGAGAAGAAAATATAAAAATTGAAGATACATTATATAAGATTTAGATAAAGAGCTGGCTGTGCTGTGCTTGCTATAATAGTTCAAAAATAGATAATGCAAAATGAATATATTGAAAATTTCATTCAAATTACTTTATTCTGAGCAAAGATATTAGCTTTTGAAGCTTTGACAAGATATGTGCACTCACTGTAACCACCATACTGGTTTTTTGAGGCTAAGACTCGTTTCACCATTTTTACGGTAAATCATGAAATGACTTAGCCATTCTAATTTGATTAAAATCGGAGCCATCCGATGGCATCGAGAGTTGATTATGGTCTTGTTATGTTAATAAATCTCTAATTAATAGTTTATATAACATTAAGGCCCAAAGAAAGACCTGCAATAGACAGATTTAGCTCTTGCATAATGCCTGTTTAAGATAGGTCTTATTTATATATTTTGCTTATGGACACCAATATGAATACAGACTCTAGTCACACATTGTCAGTGCAGCCAGCTGTCATTTAAGATGGCTAGCTGGTAATACCATCTTTGATCCGTGTAGAGTAATCACAGGTTGTTGGGGAAATTATCACTAAATCCCTCGTAATTTTATGTCACCATTACCATTCCTTTATAGTAATGAGGGAGAAAAATCCTTCTAAAAACTTGGTCTCTCTCTAGTAGGTATAAGTAGGTTAATATAAAAATATAAAATGATTATTTTATGATGACCCCAACTATTAATCTGATAATAAATGGTTAACTAGGAATAGTCCTCTGTTTGTTGTTTTTTTTTACATTTTGCTGATGTTTTAATGACAGAAAGTTCTTTAAACATTAGTCCTGCAATTTGTCCCTTGGGCATTGTAATATCTAAATGTCAGGCCACTAAATAGTCTGGTTGAACCTTGTAGTGCTTTAGTTGACGCGGATAGACATAGTTATTTATTGAATTTCAAGATGTCCGCTCTAGGGGTATTATGGGTGTAATGAAATTATTGTACGCTAAGTTGCATCCATTTATCGAACCATAAGAAAATCAATACTACCCTGAAATCAACCTTTTTATACGGAAGTTTTCAATAATTTCATTGTCACATAACTTCATTCTGGAAAATGCTTTTATGACTATCTTTGATAAACTTTTATCTACTTTTGAAGTAAGAGATACTTGGTAATTGGTCACTTTGAAATTTTTCCACTGTTTATCTGATGTCCCATGATGACTAATAAAGTTACAGACGGTAAAGCCTGTAACTAACAAAGCATTACACTTGATTTTCAAAAAAAAAAAAAAATACAAAAAAATGTTTCTTGGGAAATACTTTAATTTTGTGTTGGTGTGTGTCAAGAAATGAAAATCAGTAAAGATTTTAGTCACAGATATTTAACTGTTTTTGTTTTTACGTTTCAAACAAAAATACCACTTGTAGTTGTATGTCTGCTGTTGCTCTTTTTGACGAGGAATGTGTTATATAGACAATGTTTAGAAGAACAGCCCTGGAAAAAAACACTGTCTTCATTAGCCCAGTCGGAGCAGTAAAGTAGGATGTTAAACCCCATTTCATTTCATTTCTATTATGAACCCAATATTCTATAGGCAAATTCTTTAAAGGGTAGAAACACCAAACTCCTTTGAATAAAATCTGTTTTATTTATTTGATCTACTAGAGATTGTCTGCATTCTCAGTGATAAAGGCAGAATTTTTTCAACAGGGGCTCAGTCAACAACCTTGATTTCTCACTTCCTGAAATTGTTGAGCCTGATTGGCACAACTATATTTAGACCTTTAACCCTTTCATTGTGTCTACCCGGTAGTACCGGGTTTTATAAAACGTCGTTAAAATGCGTGTACCCGGTATTACCGGGTACTCAGTACAGCCCTCGCTAAAATTAGAACCGTAGCTGCAAGTGCCATCTATTGTATTTTTTATACACTAGAACATATTTCCAGTTAGTTGATAATAATAGTAGTCAGGACAGTGATTGGTAGTATAAAGTGCGTGATGTGTTGTGTGACATTCCACCTATGGTCGTGTCTCCCGTGCATGATAAACAAGCCCAATGTGAACATGACTATGTAGTATGTCTTCAGTAGATTCTGACGATATTCTGATGTTGATAATAATGCTGACCTGCTGGATCGTAAAAGACGTAGGCAATTCCTGAGTCCCGAACGTGTAAATCTATTGACTGACTATAGAGATAATGATATGGGACTTGAGGATGAAAGTGAAAGTAAAAACAAGGTATTGCAATCCGCACGTGGTCATGGCAGCGGGAGACGTGGTGCGCGTGTTCGTGGTGGCATTGCTCATGGCTGCTATTGATATTTGTGTTCATTTTATATATTTTTATCAAAATCCAGGGACTACATGATTATGCAAATTTCCAAAATTCTATTTTTTCCCCTTAGCCCAACCTCATGCCCATCCCAACACACAAAAAGAATTTTCATAAAAGCTTCCATAAGTACTGTTTGGAATTTAGTTCCAAACCCATTTTTTTTCCTCAAAAAAGGGTCTAGCACAGGCAGTGGATTTACATCTAGCATTGAAAGGGTTAAGGGGTAATAATTCTGTTTGTTTCAAAATGACCTTGCATATAAATTGTTGTTAACATGATGCATGAATTTGATTCATTTCATCTTTACAAAAGGTTTTTAATTTCAATGATGCATATAATTAACAAGTATGAGTGGTATATGGACCAAAAACCGAGCATGACATCATCACAGCCATCTT